CCCCAAAACCCCAAAACCCCAAAACCCCAAAACCCCAAAACCCCATATAAGAGAAAACATTTGAAGATGATAATATATAAATATGAATAAATTTATTAATTTTGAAGAAAACTTATCTGAAGAACTTCTTGATGAAAATGCTTCTGCTGCAATTCCTAATTCCTCCCCCAGCATTGACAAAAACATGACTGGGTCTCAACTCCGATTCAGTTATACCCCTAAAGAATGAGGAAACAAGGGATCATACAGTGAGATAAGTCCTTTTGGCAAATATGTACCATTTGAAGACAGCAGTCTTGAAGTCTCTGCTAAAGCTCCTTCTTTAGCAAAAACTGTAAACAAGAGTTTATTACAAAGAAAAAGCTTGAAAGAAGACATTAAAGATCTTTTGCATCAAGCCATCAGATTAAGAAGCGTCTCCTACTATAAAAAAGAAGGTAACTTTGAAGAAGAGCCCCCTATCCACAGATCTGAAAAAGAAATCACCATGAGGGACATACATGTAAACCCAAACTATTACGGCCTTAACTAATTCTGAATTTTTTCTAATAATTTCTCGCAAATTCCCATGTTCACTTCATAATTAATTGTCTTCAAGAGTTGCTTGTCTTTTCTATATTTGAGAACCACTCAGGGGCTGGACATCTTCAAGTTTATCAAAGTTTAATAATGTAATCTACTCATTATGAATAACTGTTGTAAACTCTTGTGGTAATAATAAACTACTCTCTCTTGAGCAATAGAAAAGTTTATTAATCAAAGAGTGGACTGGCCATCAACCTTTAATGAAATTTCCCTGATTTCCCTAGATTAATAGGATTTTTAACCTTGATAGATGCTATTAGAAATTTTTATAAGGTGTAAATGATAAGTAAATTATCAATAAAGTATCTTAATATAAGAGAAAAAATATAATGGAATGTTATTGGGAAGCACGATTTGTAGGACTATGTCTATTGCATAAGGGTACATATTTTAGACAGTTATATCCCTATGCAAATATCTCAATGATGTTATAAATTTCATAGCTTGCCATCATTGATCTAATTATTAGTTATTTCGTCTCGATCATCGTTAAACTCGGCTACTCTATAGAATGTACTAGAGTAACTTATAATGTAGCTGCCATCCAAAGAGACTGTAAAGCACTTTAAAATCTATTAAATTCTTTGAATTTATTTTAGTGCTTTATTTATTTCAAAAAAATAAAATTTCTGGTCTAAATCTTAAAATGGCTGAATATTTTCACTAGTAAACTAATTTATATCAGAGAAGTTGTTTTGATGAACTCAAATTCAAGTGAAGCTTGTAGAATTTATTTCTTTTTTCTTAAATCGTACGTACAACAAGTTGGCTATTATAAGACCCTAATTTATTTCTTTGAAATATATCTAGAAGTAACCCCCAGAACTTAGTTATTATAATGGAGTAAATTAAGTTCTAAATCTGGCCATTGTTCACCCATTCATTATGACCAGCATTGGCAACTGAGAGCGGGTGACATAGTCCCAACTGTCTAGCTTTATAATTTCTGGTTTAGGAGACTTTCTAGAAAAGTACGATAATTTGCAAATAAATATTCTTTGGTGAAATTACTCAGTTTAGGCAAAATTCAGGAAAGAGAGGCCAGGGCTGGACATTTTAATAATGGAGTTGTAAGAAGTAAAAGAGGTAGGAAATAAAGTGTTAGTCAATTTGAGGCAGATTTATCAATTTCGTTATTATTTTAATTATTAGTCAGTAGGTAGGATTGTAATTTAGCTAATTTTTAACTTTAATTCTAATTGAAGCAATTAAGAAATCAAAGTTAAAGTTATCTCTACTCTAAAACAAAGCCAGACTGTAGTACTCCAATGTGTGCCTCTAATATCCCAACCAAAAAGTTCAAAAAATTGAGTTATTCCTCATTCCACCACCTCAAATCCCCCAAATCTAACCTCTCCATCCCCAAACCCACCATCTCCTACCCCCCAACCCCCTAATCCCCACCCACCTCCCTACATCCCTCTAAAATTTGACCTAAACAACCTCCACTTTTCTCCATATTCCTTCACAATATTTACCTTGCATAACTTCAACTCGGGGTTTTGGGGTTTTGGGGTTTTGGGG